ACCCCAGCCAGCCAGGACAGTCCAGCATTAACATGGGGACCCCAGCCAGCCAGGACAGTCCAGCATTAACATGGGGACCCCAGCCAGCCAGGACAGTCCAGCATTACCATGGGGACCCCAGCCAGCCAGGACAGTCCAGCATTAACATGGGGAGCCCACCCAGCAGGACAGTCCAGCATTAACATGGGGACCCCAGCCAGCAGGACAGTCCAGCACTAACATGGTGTTCTTGCTCCTGGTGAAACTCACATAGATTTTGTACAGGGGCTCCAGACAGGATCACTATTCAGGTGTGCAGATACTGTGTAGAGAATTTTAGTATGAACATGGAATTACCATTCATATTGGAAAGTGGACAGAAAATGTCTGCAATGTTGTGACTTACAGTGTGCAGCATTTTCGCACTGGTGCTCTGTTGTATAGCTGAGGGTAATGAGCTTCCTGTGGTAACAGACGTGACTGTGAGAACAGTCCCGTCAATGAATCGTTCTCCAGAACTGTCTCCTGAACTGGACATGACCCCTAACCTTTGACCCTGTCTCCTGAACTGGACCTGACCCCTAATCTTTGAACCTGTCTTTGATTGTGGAAACATTTGATCTTTTGATTTCTTAAAACGGTGCACAATCATGTTTAACGAAGGATAATATTTAACTGTTTCTACTACTTAGGATATTCTAGGAAGAGAAACAACTCTTTTGTTCACAGGAAAGGTTTTTGATCACCAGGACTGCTATCCTCTATCTGGTTTTGTGATTTTTCCTGAGTCACAGGACTGTGAAGTACCTACTGTATGGCAGGGACCTGTTCTGAGCTTTCAACACTAGTAGTCATTAGATGGCGCTAGAGACGAGCTAGAAACCACAGCCTTTACTTTAAGTCACAGCTATAACAGCTGTAGGTGATAGTGTAGTAATTACTCCACTGGAGTTTAGGGCAGTCTGTGTTTAACTATTCGTGTTGTGTATCATAAAGTTTCTAAAGTCAAGTCAAGGAGTGCTTTCCGCAAGTGCTGTAGACACCGGTCTTCATAGCGTTCTTGTTTAACTTCAGTTCAGCTAAGTTTGTCATATGCACAAGCGCAATGAAATGCTTATTTGCAAGTATGCAAAGCTTGGAAGAAATCTTTCCGTCGGCCCTCGCAGCAAGCACAAAGAGAGTCTTAAAATCATTATAAGAACGTGGAGCTATGTTTACGAATTGTGAAAACAATTCCTGGCAATGCACGCTTTATTAGAGACTCATCAGCACACTCGACTCTAGCCGAAGTCCAGTTTCCATGTCTATTGTGTGTATTTTTCATGTTGGAGCGGTTAGTCTGTTTTTAACCATGTCTTCAGAATCAAATACTTCAGCAAAACATGGAAACTTTTCGAAGAAATTACGATAGCGCGCGTTTCAGTGTTTGGTCCTGCTCTGGGTCTCGCGTAATTTCACTAAAATTCAGATTCTAACCATCACAAAAGTGAAAACAAAGCTGCGTGAGACGCTGGTATTTGCTTGCCTGGAGCCGATATCCAGCAGTGCACTCGGAGCTGTACATTGCTGCTGGAGTACCCGGTTAAACCACCCAGACAGCGAAACAAGCGCGCTCGACTTGCAGGAAGCTCGCTGTATAGTTGCTCACAATCGCCCCAGTGTTGCGCAACCATGTCATTTCCTGCTGCAATGTGCAACCTCACAGTGTGGAAAGCTGCGTGTCACAATTCGTATTGTAACAGATCAGCCCAGTGTGCTGTGGCTACATACAGTACTGAGCTAAACAACAGCGTTGGGGGCTATTCGCAACCATGGCTAGGAGCAGGGTGTCCCCGCCCAGTAGAAACCGCTCCTGGGGAAGTGCGCCTTGTGGACTGTTCGGGCACAAAACCTCCAGTGTCTGTTTCTTGTTAGAATGTAAGAGGAAGAAAGATCCACGAAACACATACGCAATGGGGGATAAACAGGAATTGTTCATGGGCCTCACTGTTACAGTAACTGTGGTAAATACTGTGACTTCCTGGCCCAGTTCGCTTCAGAAGGTGCGAGAAACTAGTTCCAGCTCTTAGCAGGTCTGATTTCACTACCTGTGAAACGATGTGCATCACCAGACCTTGAGGGACACAGAGTCTCATTTCATTCACCTGCTGAACTTAATTGCATTGAATTAATGGCTTTAAAAGAAATATCTTGCAGTGGCCTGTCTGGCCACACCTCTAGTTAAATCTTGGCCCCAGTATAATCCACACACAGCTCTCCTAGGATCAGAGCAGGCAGAACGGGTCAGTCAGCTTGTTCCTTCGTGAGCTCGCTGTCTGGCTCTACAGCAGCTGGCCAACAGAGTCAGCTGTCCTCTTTTGGTTTAAGCATCTTTTCTGCACTGTTGGAATGTTTTACGTTTTGTCACACGTAGCCCTCAACACTCTGCGACAAACTGTTTTCAAAGTTGTTTGCAGAGTTTTTACTCAGTTTACCTCTCAGATGCTCAGACCAGACTCTCTCAAAGTAGACGTCTGTTTGTTTTGGCAACTGTTTGGCCAGAGCATAGCAGTTACGTGAGAATACTGGAGAGTGGAGCCAGACTGCAGGTCACTTCCTCTGGCTCCTCTGTGCCTGAGCAGGACAGTTTTCTCATCGTCGCAATCTGTCTTTCTAGGGTGATGCTGATGGTACTGGCCCAGCCGCCCCAGTCCTCAGTGTCAAGCAGCGTGGGGTTGGAGCTCGGAGAACAGCAGAGCCGTTCGTTCTCACCACCGAGAGCGAGTTTGGCTGTTACAGACCGGCACGCCCAGCAACCTGGGGGTTCTGTACTAACATGAGAGTGGCTACATGTCCTGACAGCACTTCACCAAAACTTTGCTGCCCGTGTAGCAAGATGTCTTTTAAACTTGTAATACAGGACGTAGGTACGTTTTTACCAGTGTTGAAGGATTATTATCAACAGAAATTCAGAGATATATTTTCTTTCTTATGTCATCATGTCAAAGGCTCCCTCTGGCTTCTGTCTGTATCTGTTTGAAG